AATTCCGATTTTGTACCTATTGCAGGTATACATTCATGAGAAATTACAAAAGCAAAGTATGGACAAAACCATTTAGGAATGGGATTTCACTTGTAGTAAAGGACCTAGTCCTTTTAAAGGTTAGCAATTTTTACATTATTTTTAAACTGCTTTAAAGAGAACTGTTGAAATGGTCACCTGTCAGTCATCATTTTGACCGTTGTCCCATCCCTTAAATCCAAGCGACACGTCTAATCTAAAGGACCTGACAGCATTTCGCTCCTTTTTATAAAAACTTCTCATCTATCATCTTCTTCATTTTAATTTCTTTATCCTTCTCTAAGAAAATCCTAATCTTCATCTACTCCTTTCTTCGTCTCTTGCTGCATATCTTCTTCTTTCTCCACAAAATGTCTGAATCTTCATCATCCTCAAAGAATATGCTTGCATCTTTAAATGAAATCAACCATGTGTCCTTTTCTACACCCTCATCTACTGTGTATCTGTTGAAAATGTTGTCTACTTCTCCGTCAACCTTGTTCTAAATAGTTCCCCAAATCATCATCTCCTCTTGATCTAAATAACCAATACTCTTTCCTCAACCTGGTTCCTATTTGTATATGTTGTCTGATCATTTATTTGAAGGAGATCTCCCAGCAAGCAAATTGTCTGAGTCTAATATTTTGGTTGCTAGTGAAATTTTCGTTATAGAGAGTTTAGCCAAGATGAGGGAAGAAGCCTTGTTTGAAGGACATGAAAATGTCATGGATGAGGAGTTAAGATAAACACAACCTGTGTTTGATAAAACTCCAGATTTTGGTAGATAGCCTTCTTCCTATTCTATAGACACAGATGACGATGATCATCCTATTTAATGGTTACTGAAAAGAACAGAGGTTTCTATCTCATAAAAGGGAAAAGAAAAGGCTGTTGAGGTTGAGCCCAAAAAAATACCTTTCACCAGATCTGACTGAAGGAAGATGATGGTTGATGCTTTGAAAGCAAATGCAGCCTCCACTGCTGATAATAGAAAGAAAAGAACTTTTAAAGTGTCTCGATTTCAATTACCACTTTCTGATGTGGTGGAGGTATCTGGTGCAGAATCTGAAGAGGGATCTGCTAGAAAAGTATCTTATGACTTGAAACAACATTCAAAGAAGAAAGTTGATATAAAGAAACCAAAGGTACATCTCAATTATCGTCAAGTAAGAAAACTGCTAGTACTACGGGTAAAGGAAAAAGGAAGAGAGAAATTCCTGAAGTGAAACCTGCAATGTCTGAACAGGTACTTGGTCCGCAGGTAAATGTGGAGGATGAAGATATCAACAAGTAAACAATTGTTGACAATCTGCGCGTACAAAGTGTCTTGGGAGGCAGATTTTTTGATATGAACATCATTAGGAGGCCTGGGATGGACACTTTGCATGACATTGTGCTTATTCAGTCATGGATGCACCTTTTGACATTAAGTCTCCGGTTCTTCACGAGGAAGAGGTACGTGAGTTTTATTACAATATTGAGTTCAACAATGATGAGAGTATCAACACCAGGGTAGGGGATGTAAGTGCCGATCTTGATGAGGATTTACTTGGAAACATTTTGGGGGTACCTAGAGAAGGGATCAGGTCTGTGGTTGGAAGGACCTGTTTTGTTGAATTTGTCTAGGAATATTCCAAAATTCCTACAACTCGATGTGTTGGGCTACCCAAGAAATTAATTAAGGGTGAGTATCAGTTGGCATTTGAATTTGTCAACAAGAATCTTCTTCCTCAAATAGAGAAGAGGATCTCTGCTACCTCAACTGACTTGTTCATCATGGAATCCTTGTGTAAATTTGAACCATTGGATTTTCCTGCACTAATTCTTGAACACATGTACAAGATAGTGATTGAACGAAAGGGCAAGCATGAAATTAGTTATGGGTACTTTTTGACAAAGGTGTTTAAGTATCTGAACATTCCACTTGGTGTTGGATAGGTGGGGACTGCTAATCAATCATTTACTTAGACCACTCTAGTTGAATGCAAATGCATTGAAGGGAAGGGAAATCAAAAGAGTAAGTTGTCTCAATTAATAGCAGAGCAGGACCAACTGAAGCATGAACTGGAAGAAATCACCATGAGAGTTAGCAGCAAAGATGCTGAGATTGCTATAGTTAAAGTTGAGCTGCTCAAGGTGCAGACTGAGGGACCTAGTACATCTGAAGTTCAAGAACTGCACAAGGAGAATGCAGAACTGATGATCATGATTAATGCATTGCAAGAAAAAGTAATCAAGGACAATGATGAAGCCAATGCTATACTTACCTTCATCATTCAGTCCCTTTCCCATCAGTCTCCCTTCTCATAGTCCTTCCTGTGGTCACCCCTGTTTGTTTTTTTTGTGTGGAAAATTGCAAGGTTCTCTGAAACCAGTTTAAATTTAACTTATTGACTGCTATCTTTATGCAATGAATCTAATTCCTTTTTTGTTCTGTCTAATATCTATTGTCTAATGTTTTCTTTCTTGTTTGATTGCCACAAGGCTATGCTCTTACCTGACTGTCTTACTTGTATTGCTGGTTTACTGTAATTCTTTTTGTGGCCAAAAGGAGAAATCATGGAGTGCTTGGAATGTGATTGTCAGGGGGAAGATACTAGAGTGTGTGTGTGTATATTGACAGAGGGAAGAAAATGTAAGACGCATTAGTGTATCGCTTTTCATCATCAAAAAAGGGGAAAAATTGTTATTTGTAGTTTTGATGATTTGACAAACTCAGGGACCTTATGAAGGAACCTGGTTCTTGGCTCAGTATACTTTTCACTGCCAACTGATAAAAGTACAAAAAGTTGGTGCACAGTCTCTGACAGAGAAAGCAGATGCGACAGAAACCTCAGCCTATGACAATGCTTTAAGGATTGTGACTATTTCATATGAACATAATATCCAATAGTCATAATCTTAGTTTTTGCAACTTGAAAAGGCATCTCAAGAACTCTTGCAAAGGCTGAGAAATCTGAAGAAAAGAAATATTTTGAAGAGCAACTCAAACGAAAGTGCTGATAGTGTAGTTGTCTTAGGAGTATTTCTTTTGATATGAAATTGTAATATGGTCCTAAAACATATAAAGGATTCAGTTTGTTTTGGTCAGTGAATTCTAAGTATTTAAGTTCAACTAATTTAGTGGACAACCTGTGTTTTGCTTAGAAAAGTCTAAATCATCAGTTGTGTGGTGATTTAATGGGCAACCTGCGTGTTGTTTATTGAATTCTAAGTTGTCTTGTGGTGATAACTTATGGGCAGAGTCATATTTGCTTAGGATCTTCAAGAAATAGAGTTATTTCTTGGTTGTGAGATTAATAATTTTTTCTCACTCTTTTGTTACCGATTTTACTTTTGCTTGTGAAGACTAGTGAAACGGTTGGAAATCCTGTGTGACAGGTCATGGTTTTACTCCCTTGATGAAGAAGGTTTCCACGTAAACTTCTTGTGTTGATATTATGCCTTTATTTTACAGTTGTTCTTATTTTGAGCGTGTCAAGAAACCTGATCCATTGACTGTTAGTGGATGCACGTATTCTAACAGTAAGTATCACTGATTTTCAAGAAGTTTCAAATGTGTACTTAAGGATCTTCTGAGGGAGTTCAGTGAATTGCCCAATACAGTTACACCATGTTTTGTTTAAGCTCGAATTTATAGTAGGTGGTGGTCTCTTAATGTTGAAAGTAGCATTAATAGCGTGTGGTATTGCCACATCACGAACTATCATTGCTGCCATCTTTACATGTGCTTCATCTTTAGCAGAGTAATCGGGTGCTACAAAGTCACTTTTCTTCTCCGATAATGTAAGTATCGTTCAAGCTTTGCAAATGGCTCCACAAGCTCTCTCTTCTTATCCAATGCAATGTTCTAAATTGCCTGCAAAAGGGAACAACTAAGATCAAGTTATAACACTTGAACACTAAATAGATTTTTTTAAAATAAATTAAATATAGACTTATTTTAAAATCCCCGATAGCGGCACAAAAAATCTTGTTGCTTTCAAGTTCACCTGGAAGTATACGTGATCGCGCTTGTAATATATTATCTCTAACAAACTCAGATTATCGAACTCAAAAAACTTACGATTATTCTAAATCAAATTTATCTATTACCCACATTTTAATGCAAGTGTGCCACAAAAGTTTGCTTTATACAAACTTAAAAAATGCAAGATTTTAAGACTAAGAATAAGTAACAACAACTCACTTCAAATTGGATGCTAACAATAATTGGAAAAAATAAGGGCTGCAGCGTAACTAAGAATTCATGCTTAGTATTTCTTTAATGGATTTCAAATGGTTATCAAATTATTAATTTACAAGGTTAATATTATGATCATGATCTCTCAAGCTATAATCATCTATCCCAATTGATAGTCAAACTACATCATTGAGCGAGATATAATCAAATGCAGAGAGCATTAAACTATCTTTTTAAGAGAAGATAATAAATTTATTCTAATGAGTATCAAACATCAAAATAGTAATATAAGAATACGAGAGTAATTTAAGTGATAACCAACTTCATTGTTAATATAAATAGTCAACAATCATTGTATCCAGAGCCCCCTGAACGGGGGTTCTTAGCTACTCATGATGCTAATAAAAAATATGAAGATAATTGTTGTCATCCAAATCAATGACTAAGAAAAATTAGAGAAACAAAAACGTAAGGTAAGTTCTATTCCTTTGCTCTTACACTTCAAAAAAAAATTTTAAAACCCTACAAAAGAGGCATAACTTTCTATTTGTAGGGTTGAAGGAAATAATTTTTGGATTTGAAGTCGCAAAAAAAGTTTGGGATTTTCATGGTGGCATCAGTGGAGCAGCGCAACACCATAGTATCGAACATAAGCACTTAAGAATTTATCAATTATTTTAGACCACAAGATTTAAAAACTTTATTACAAATCAAATCAACTCATATAAAATAAGACGGTGAGAGCATTATATTATATTTAGTGGTGTTTTGATTAAGTAGATTTCCGTTAATTATTTTCTTGTCGTCTCTTTGTTATTTTGGGAGAAAGAGCAACTCAATGTAAAAAGAGTGTAGACACTCTTATCCTGTTGTGAAGATAGTCATGTGTCCTAATCCTAATGTAATATAGAGCTTCAGTAACGGCCACACATGGCCTCCATCCCCTTCAAACCAACAACTCAGTTCCAACTCCAACTCTATTCTTCAACGATTTTACTAAACCCCTTCAAGTTTCATACTAGTCTACCAAGAATTTCATCTTCCGTTCATGTCACTCACGTGGAGACACAGACAACAGAGCAAGAAATTTCACACACCAGAAGAGATGGTAAAACTAATAGTAACGAAAATGGTTCTGGGTTTTCATCCTTTACTCCCAAATATAAGAAATCTTATTCTGGTCAGGAAAATGGTGCCAACAGAGTTGTTCTAAAAGATAGAAATGCAAAATTGAAACCTAAAAGAAGGAGCTCTACTACTACTACTTCTAATAATAAGGCGGTGGAGTCAAAGAAGAGTAAAATTGATTCTACATTGAGGATTGGATTAGATATGTGCTCAAAAAGAGGGGATGTACTTAGTGCAATTAAGCTATATGATTTGGCACTGCTACAAGGAATAGTAATGGGACAGTATCATTATGCTGTACTTCTCTATCTTTGTGCTTCTGCAGCTACTGGTCTCATTCACCCAGCAAAAAGTGGAAGTGTTAATAGGACTTTGAATGCTCCCAATGAACAGGAGTTTAGCCTTAATGACAAAGTAATTGAGCATGATTCACATTTGTTGAGCTCTTCCACTGTAGATGAATTTGTTCAATTTATGAAGAGCAGTGCAAAAAGTGTGAGACATGATGACAATGGAATTAAAGTGAGTGAAGATGTAAGACATTATGCACTTACAAGGGGTTTTGAAATATATGAGAAAATGCTCTCAGACAAGGTACAAATTAATGAAGCAACCCTTACATCTGTTGCAAGAATGGCAATGGCATTAGGGAATGGTGATATGGCATTTGATGTTGTAAAGAAAATGAAAGAAGATGGAATAAACCCCAAACTACGATCGTATGCTCCTGCATTATCTGTTTTCTGCAATAACGGGGATGTCGACAAGGCATTTATAGTTGAACAACACATGTTAGAGAATGGTATCTACCCGGAGGAACTTGAGCTGGAGGCACTTCTAAAAGTAAGTATAGAAGCTGAAAGGAGTGAAAAAGTGTACTATTTGTTACATAAGCTTAGAGAAGGAGTTCGACAAGTCTCACCTTCTACTGCAGATTTGATTGACAAGTGGTTCAACAGCAAGGTAGCTTCAAGGGTGGGAAAAAGAAAATGGGATGTAAGATCCATACACAAAGCTATTAAAAATGGAGGTGGTGGCTGGCATGGACAAGGCTGGTTGGGTAATGGAAAGTGGACTGTATCACATGGAATCGTTGGCTCTGATGGCTGCTGCAAATGCTGTGCCGAGAAGCTCGTGACCATTGATCTTGATCCAGAAGAAACTGAAAAGTTTGCTAAGTCAGTTGCTTCTATAGCTGCGCAGAGAGAGAGAAATTCGAGCTTCCAGAAATTTCAAGTATGTTTTACTAACTGCTCTGATGATTAGTTAATAGTTGTTCTTGGATCATTAGTGTCTCTTATGAGGGTGAAACATATTTTGATGACTGCAGAGATGGCTTGATTACTATGGACCATTTGAAGCTGTTATTGATGGTGCAAATGTTGGTCTTTACAGCCAAAGAAAGTTTAGGCCATCTAAGGTAAGTATTGAGTGCCTTGTTAATGGAACATGACTTTTTTCAAAAGCTCAGGTCTTTTGCTTTCTCTAATAGACAATTTGCATTCAGGTCAATGCTGTCGTCAATGGAATTCGTCAGATGCTTCCTTCAAAAAAGTGGCCGCTAATAGTTCTGCACAATAGACGTATTACTGGAGATAAGATGGATGAACCATTCAATCGATCGTTAGTAGAGAAGTGGAAAAATGCGGATGCGATCTATGCAACACCTACTGGGTCAAATGATGATTGGTGAGACCTGCAATCTTTTATTTCTAGGTAGTTTTCGGTGCAGATGCTTAATGCCTTGCATTGAGTTCTTTTCTAATTCATCCCAGTGGGAAATGAACTTGTTTCCTCAGGTACTGGTTGTATGCAGCTATAAAATTTCGGTGCTTGCTTGTGACCAATGATGAGATGAGGGACCATTTATTTCAACTTCTGGGAAATGACTTTTTCCCAAAATGGAAGGAAAGGCATCAGGTTAGTTTTACACTTCAGGAATACCTGCATGAAATATTGAATCTCTTTTTCCGATATGCATGTAACAAGACAGTCAGTCATGCATAGGATTCAAAGTAAATTAAGGCATTAATTAACTATCCAGAAATATATTCCTCTTGTTTGATTGATGCTATATTGCATTGATAAAGAGGAATTATCTGGGGTGGGGGAGTTAGTTATGGGTATTGAGTTATGTATAAGCAGAACAAGGTTCTGGAGCCAAATGGCCTATAGTTGACTGGTTCTCTAACTTACCTCCTCTAGCCATCATAACTATTTTTTCCCCATATGACTTTATATTCTCTCCGTAAAGCAAAGTGATCCCTCTTTCTTAGCTTACCTTTCTAAGTGCTACCTCCATCTCCTCTTGCATATGCATTAATATCATATAAACTTGAATTTCTCACAGTTATCTGACAAAGGATTTTCTTTTTCTTATTGGAAGGTGCGTTTCAGTTTCTCTGAAACAGGTCCAGTATTTCACATGCCGCCTCCATGTTCTATTGTAATTCAGGTCAGTAACACCTTCTAATTGATATGCTCTGCTATATAACAAATAATATGCTCATGAAACCAAAATACACATATAGTTCAGCCCTTCTTATCTATCTGCAGATACAAAATGTGTACTCAAGATTGAGCACATATTAAAAAATTGGTGTACATGTTGTCATTTATCAAAACCTTTAAATGTAATTGTGTTCCTTTATGTCTGCAGGAGTCGGAAGAAGGAAACTGGCATGTACCAATTGCCTCAGAACTTGAATCAGAAGAGGAAAGGACGTGGCTGTGCATTAGGCGTGCCAATTCACCTATGGCACATCAAGATTCTTCCAGAGTAAACATATGTAAGTGCCTTTTACCAATAAAGGGTAAACTGATATAAGAAGATAGTCTTTTGTGAAATCTGACAGATTGGCCAAGTCGCCTAAGTGCCAAATTTGGCTCAAATATCTCAAACATCCCTTGTACATCTTGAAAATGTGATCTTCTCAATCTTACTGATCCCCATTCCTTATTCTTATTTTCTAGCGTAAAGTGATAGATATCAAAAGACGACTCTGTATATAGCCTTAGGATTTGAATGCATGATTTTGACTCAAAGACTTCAGACTCGCTTTATTTTCAAACTTCCCTTCCCCAACCCTATGAATTTTCAATATATAAAATAAACTGATGTGTCATATACAGCTTTCACCAAGATTACCCTGCTTGAGAATATTTGGTAAATATGCCAGGGGCTGATCACTTTTTGGTCCGCCTTGTAGTGTTCAGCCACCGGTTGAAATGTTGATACATAATAACAGTTTTCAGTTACAAAGATCATTTTTCCCTCAACTTCTTCGTTTGAAAGTGGCAGAGAGCTGCATCTAACTTCTTCGTTTGAAAGTGGCAGAGAGCTGCATCTAACTTCTTCGTTTGAAAGTGGCAGAGAGCTGCATCTTCATCTTCTGTATTATCTCCCTGAATTTTGAACTGCATAATTCAAATTACAGGAAAACATATTTCCAGGAGTTTGAACTGCTGCAGAAAAAATTGACCGCGTTTGAACTTTTATCAGTTCAAAGTCCAGGAATTTACCTTAAGTTTGAGGGAAGTTTGTTCACTAATATAGCAAGGCCTGCAACAAACATGATTCCAATATCAATTATTATCTAGGATGAGTGACTCAGAGAGGGGAGGGAATCATATTAACAGAAAACATTGAGATACAAAAGTAGTAAAGTGTACCAGTACATACAAAGATCCATGTTAAGATGACGACAATAATAGCGATCAAAACTAAATGCCTGCAAAGGCTATTTGCACATTAATATCAGATGTTAAAGCAAATGAAAAGATTAAACTAAAATTAAACTAAATTTGAGATGTACACAATATTAATATTGCAAACGCCATGTATTTCGCCTTTCTCTTGCTTGGCAAGAGTGGTTGAAATTTTTGGACTTCTCGCACCTTTTATCGCCAAGCTAGACCACCTTGACCTGCTGTCCAAAATGCTTTGAACTCCAATACATTGTCCTGGAGTTTGAGAAGGAGACAATTCAAACTCTATGAATTTTCTTGGATTTTGGACCGCACATCTCAAACTTCAGAAATTTTTTTTGAACTCCAGCACAGTGCTTGAGTTTCATATGTAAAAGTTTCGACCTGCAATGCACTGTGCTGCAGTTTTTCCATGTTCTCATTAGGGGTATTATATCCAAATTTGGTTTTCGTATTGAAAAGCTGCTAAAGTTTGAATAGTTATGGAACAGTGACAGAGTGTCTATTAGGCGTCATGAAAGTGGCAATTTGTATTTTTTTGACAAAGATTTGGTGCTTCTACCAGTTATTCTTTATGTCCAGCTCCATAAACTTTGATTGTATCAAGTTTTCCGGAGTAAATTGTGCTATTTCTTTCCTTGGAATTGGAAGAAATGTATAGTACATTAAAAGAGCATGGTTACATATTAAATGGTCTACGTGCATGTTCTTTTACATCCTTATCACAAGATAAAGATGTGAAGACATGTATGGATGTAAAATCAAACATTTTTATTAATCACACAAATGTCCAAGATTTTTTAATTGTTAAAGCATTCGATCCTCGGATTAATTCTACTTTCGTTGTTTTGTATACAGAGACATATACCTTATATGCACCATTGCTTTCATTCAATAGCAATCCATAGTCTTGTATACCTTTTCCCGAAGGAGTTGAAATTGTATATAACATTTTCACATAGAGTTGTTGTATCTCAATGTCATGCAGCCAAAAATGTTGGTGGTCCCACTCACAAATGCCCTCCTACGTCATCAGACTCTCCTCACAACAAGGGAGATGCAAAGTCAAGCACAAGAAGGAAAAATCAAGTTAAGGTGACAGGAAAAACGCGCGGCAGCCACTGTCGGGGTAAGGATGCACCTGAAGAGATGTATAGAAGTCTTAAAAACATATTACAACCGTCAATAACCTCAGATCATTGTTCCATTCTTCCAGAACTGAAGGCCGCAGAGGAGTTAGGGAGATGCGTAGTCGATTTCCAAATATAAACTCTTCAGTGTGGACTTTGGACCTTTTTGACACAAAAGATGGTGCAAGCAGCCTCTATTCCAGTAGGTATACCACATACTTGAACAAGAGTTTAACTTAGATCTTTCTGCCATGTAGATTAGATAGGAGTTTTCTGTTATTAGGGAGGAAAAGAAATGGGATGGCAAGGCTTGTCTTGGGGTTCTTATTATAACAGCACTTTGTATGATTTTTGCCAGCATTAAAAGTAGTTTTATTAGTCTTTATGGTGAATAATTTTCTTCAACTTTTTTTTTTCTTTCTAAATATGTATGTCAGGTGCAACAAATAATTGGAATCAACATAAACTGATTTTGGACTCGACCTGTAATGGAAGCCACTTCTTTAAAGAGGTAGCATTTGGGCTGGCCCTTGGATAAGAATTGAATTAGTTGAAACAAAAATACGAAATAATGTCGTTGCAAGTTTTTACAACTCTATTCACATGCGAGTAGTGGTTTAGGATTAGGAATGAGAATATCAGGGATGAAGTCGGAGTAGCCTCCCGAGGTCTTTGAAAAACAACCTCTTTACCTTGCAAAGGTAGTGATAAAGTCTGTGTAAACTCCATTCTCTTCGAACTCCATTTCAGTGGGCTCCTATTGTACATTACCTATTTGTCATTACGGACGTATTAATTTTTATACCTGTCTCAATGTATGACAAACACATATTTGAAACACAAGTTCAAATTATTTGCATAAGGTAGAACAGTTGGATGGTGTGCCTTGAAGCAGGAGTTTTTAAGATTTTTCCACAAGGCATAAGTAGTGAATATGTGAGAACTAAGTATCCTAAAGAGAGAAGATGTACAACTCAATCTTGAATCAAGAAAACTAAGAAACACCTACAATATCCTAGGTAATAGTCACATATTCATATTAGAGGTGTTAAATGGGCGGGTAGGATTGAAATTGAGAATATCAAAATGGGTTAAAAGAGAAGTTGGGTTGGTCTTGACCCACCCAAGTTCACTTTGCGTTCAAATGGGCGGGTAGGATTGAAATTGAGAATATCAAAATGGGTTAAAAGAGAAGTTGGGTTGGTCTTGACCCATCCAAGTTCACTTTGGGCTCAAATGGGCTAAAAACGGGTTGGGTCTTGACCCGCCCAATTTGAACCGATTATTCTCAATAATTTAACATATTGATATTTAACCTTTATAATCACAATTTGAATTTTGGGTCAAGTTTTTTTTTTAAGTAACAAATGGTTAGATAAACCCTAAAAGATGTTAAATAGATAATAATTCATACCTCAAATATAGGAATATATCTTAATAAAAAGATTTAAAACGGATTGGAATTGGAGATTGAATTGAGCTCAATTGAGGATTATCTTCAAATGAGTTATGCTTAAATGAGTTGAAATTAAACCTAATTCAAATTATCTTGAGCCCAATCCTTAAAATTTTTAGCAAATTAGGTGAATTACCTATGTTTGGATTCATTTTTGACACCCTGACTCATAACTCATATCATATAGATGGCTAGACACAGCTCCACAAACCGTATCATATAGTTGGCTAGACACAGCTCCACAAACCATGGCATTTAAATTTTCTCCGAAATAGCATGAAAAGTAAAGGTAAGATAATAAAGTATTTTACAAAGTCTAAAGCAAAATTCTATGTTTGTTGGTCCATTAAATTATAAAACTTTTGATTTAAAAAATTATGTTCCATTAAAATACATTAAAAATATGAAAACAGGGTTTAAACAAAAAAAAAATATGAGAAATTTGTGACATTGCAAGTTGTGGTGTATCTCTATCATGTTGAGTTTTAATTATCATTTTTTTTTTCTGTTGTTGTTCAATTCTCTCTTGTTTTATATTATATATTTTTTCTCAGTAAATTTACTGGAAAATTATTAGAATATTCTTTATAAATTACATAATATTAACATATTCATTTTTATTACAACATTAAGTTTTTAATTATAAATACAACAATTATTAAATAAGGAAAAATTACGTTGTTAAGCAAACTTATACTATTTAATTACTCATCATAGCTATAGTTTGCTATAATTACCACTCGCGACTAACATTATATATTAATTACGTGAATTGACTTCGAGTTTGTATAATTAGTCATGTTTGTGTATGTATAATTCACCAGAATATGCAAATACATATGTATAATATACAATTATCTAATCGATATACATATAAATTCACCTCTCTCCCACTCTCTGCCCTCTCTCTCTCGCCTCTCTTCTCACTCTCAGAATCTCACTCGCCTCTCTTCTCACTCTCAGAATCTCACTCGCCTCTCTCCTCCCTCTCCCAATCTCGTTTGTCATATATACAGATGCATACGTATAATATACAATTATATACATATACAATTCACCTCTCTCCCACTCTCTTCACTCTTTCGCTCGTCTCTCTCCCAATCTCCCTCGCCTCTCTCCCCCCTCTCCCAATCTCGATCATCTCTCTTTTCATCTCCTAGTCTCGCTTGTCGTATATACAAATACATATGTATAATGTACAATTATCTAACCGATATTCATATCCAATTCCACCTTTATCTCATTCTTTTTGTTAAAGAATGACAAAAGTCCCACATCGGTGATTAATGAGATGGGTGAACTCTTTATAAGGTTTGGGCAATCCTCCTCCCTTAGAGCTAGCTTTTGGGGTGTGAGTTAGGCCTAAGACCTAATTTCACATGGTATCAGAGTAGGGTCCGTCTCACCCGATGTTGGGGTTCCCAAAATTAAAATTGTCCATGCACCAGATGCTAAGCACTGGCGTGAGGTGGGGTGTTAAAGAATGACAAAAGTCCCACATCGGTCATTAACGAGATGGGTGAACTCTTTATAAGGCTTGGGCAATCCTCCTCCCTTTGAGCTAACTTTTGGGGTGTGAGTTTAAACTATTTTTAATTCGCTATATATAAAAGTTCCCCAAATAAATACTAGACGCTTCTAGATATTTTTTCTAGCTATTTTCTTGGGTTAGTGTGTGGAACCATAATTTATTGCGTGTACTTCTTAGATTTTCAATTATAATTATCATTGAATACGTTGCTATATTAAAGATATTTTCTCTCTTATTCCTTTTTCAAGAAAGGAATATCATTAATTTTAGTTTTATCAATTTCATTGTTGGTTCCACAAAGTATTAAGTTATTCATTCATATTTTCTTGGTAATGGTTTTATTTTTTTTGTCAGAATTTAATCATAAATTTAAAAAACATATAATATTTTTTTATTTTACGAAAATTATTTTTTTATTTTTTAATTAAAAGATATTAAAATTAAAAGGATAAAAATATTCAAAAAGGTAAAAACAACATAATATGAAATATAATATTTTACCATTTATGATCAAATTCTAGCCAAATTTTCTTGTTTCCTTTTTAAAAATCATCTCTAATCAGTGAAGAAAGGAAGTAGTGAAAATCATCTCTAATCAGTGAAGAAAGAAAATAGTGTGTTTCCTATGGATTATACTTATTATTATTATTTTCTTTTATCTTTTCACATTAAGAATTTTGATTCATCTTTTTTTTTCAAAATTACCTATATTTAAAAGAAATAAAGCGAGGGCTTTAAACCTCATTATTAAAAGGGAGAAGGGTTAATTATGCCCCTAAACTATTCGAAAAGGTCTAGATATACCCTCCGTTTAAAGTTTGGTTCACTCATGCCCTCGCCGTCCAACTTTTGGTCCAAATATGCCCTTATGGGCGTTAGTTGCCATGTTGTCTAGATATACCCTCCGTTTAAAGTTTGGTTCACTCATGCCCTCGCCGTCCAACTTTTGGTCCAAATATGCCTTTATGGGCGTTAGTTGCCATGTTGGACATATCCAACTCATTTTTCATTTCTTTAAATGCCACGTGGAATTGTCATGTCGTTTTGATCTTACCACATAACATTTATATGAAAATGGAAAGATATTTGGACTCATAAACACCTAATCCGACCCATAAATCAACTCCTTTTAAATTCACTATCCGATCCATTTTTAACAATTTTGTTTAATTTTATTATTGCGGTAAATCCCGAAAATGAGTAATTGATTAATAAAAAATAAAAAAAATTGAAAAAAAATATAAAATTAACGCCAAAAATTCACAAATAAAATATAGTAACCTTAAATCTAACATTTCAATTTTTTTAAATTTTTTATTTTTTGATAAATCTCGAAAATGAGTAATTTATTAATAAAAATTATGAAAAGTATGAAAAAAATATAAATTAACGCCAAAAGTTCACAAATAAATATAGTAACATTTCAATCTACAATTTTTTTTTTAAATTTTTATATTTTTTTGGCAAATCCCAAAAATGAGTTATTTTTTAATAAAAAGGGAAAAATATGAAAACAAAATAAAAAATATACGTCAAAATTCACAAATAAATATAGTAAACTCACTATTTTTGGTTAAGTTTTCTTAACTGGACAATGTAACTTCAGACGACCATATCTCACCCATCCGTACATGAAACTTCGCAAACTCGGTGGAGTTGGAAAGATAATTCAAAGATTTTTCCTAAAGTATCCTGTATAACACCTAAATCATCATGTGCTAGAATTTATGGTGATTTGAAGTTGACTCAAAACTCATACTTAACTTAACTCTCCTCCAAATTTCAGATTTTTGTTATTTTCAATTTATTTCTCTTTGGTACTCAAGGTGCTACATCTGGTCACCTGACCTTAATACTTAAGAAATTTTTAATTCCTTCATAAAATCTCACTCATTACGAGGAATGGTTCGAGTCTTAGCTCAAATTTTTTTAGGGGTGTTACAAGTCAGAGACCAACTACATATGAATTACATATCGACTATTATAATTTCAGGACACTAGTTATATATAGATTGCGTACCAATTAAATAACCTATTCAAAAGATAATTACATATTAGAGTTTAATAATTTTCGGGATAACAATTCTATACAAACTGCATACCTAAAGAATTCAACATTTAAACAAAACAAACACCAATTTAAAGTTCATGAACTAACTATCTCTTATAATTGATATCCAAACTGTATACTTTTGGCATCCAACTTGATACATGATGGAATTTTTTTTACTTTATATTCTAACACAAAAAATCAAAAAAAATATTAATATATTTGATATCCAACATGTATAAATATCTTGAAGAAATGATTATACCAATGTAAAATAGTGAATATTGTATTTTGTAACAACCTCAATTACATCTTGTTTTATATTATCAACGAAGTTAGTATACAATCTATATAAATGCTGGAAGAAATGAATCTGACAATTTAAAACTACGATCATTAAATTTTGTACTAACATCAATTGTATCTTGTTTTATTTTGTTTTGAGTAGGACACCAATTGGATACAAAATTAACTCATGCTAAATTACATTAACTGATATCAGTGGCTATTCAGTTGCATACCAAATGGATACCAAATGTATACCATAGTTACCTTATATAATGTTTACTAATATGAACAATACCTTATATATTACACTGACATGAATTTGATTTTTAGCTGTATGCAATTGGTATGATTACTGAATGAATCTTGTATAAAACATGAATAGTATATCTAACACTTAGCTGGAATGCGTATGACATCAATTCTGTATATATTTGATATGCATTGTCAATAAATATTATCAGAAAACAATGAATACAT